ACATCCTGTGCCCTGCAAACCTTTGAGCCTGTGACTCAAAATCCAATGTGCACCCTGTGTAAATCCAACGTGGGTTAGCAAGGACTAAATATGATCAGTTAAGCTTTCAAGAAGGAAAACAGTGAGTGCAATTATGTTCCAGCAATAGGTTGTAGTGGTGACAGGCTACTGGAGAGATGACTTGACTTTTTCCTCTAGGCTCTCCCTTTACCGGGCCTTCTGTGAACTTCCTGTGGTCTGATGATAAAGCTGAAAGAGAAGTGAGCAGGAGCAAACCAGGAAGAGGGGAGAGAAGTGCAGAGCATGCTCAAAGAGGAAGGGGACAGGAGTTGTGCAGGCCAAAAACACTTCAGGCTATAAGCTCTAAGGGTCTCTACGCTTCAAAAAGGAGACAGACATTTTTTGAGCACCTACTGATATACAAGGCATTAGGCTGACATTTGGGGAGGAGAGAGGATGCAAAATGCTACCAGAAGCAAGTTCAAGCTTGTAAAAATGTAGCTGAATGAGCAGTCAACAAAGAGATGAAAAAGCACAGGGCTTATCCAGAAATAATGAACAGTCAAGTGTGAAGTCAGAGGAAATGAAGGTGCATTAAGGCAGATAAGACCAGAAGCGGGGGATAAGCCAGGCTGCGCAGGACTTGAACTCTAGGCTAAAGAATCTGAACTTTATTCCGTAGACAACAGGGAAGGATGCAACATTCAAGTTCACATACAAAATTATAAGACACAATAAAAGTCATGCTCTAAAGAGATCCCTAAGGGAGAAGGAGACTTAAGGTTAGGAAGACTCATCACTGCATTAGTTCTGGTAAGAGGATACCAACAGGAACTATGGAGATTAAAAATTTTTTGGACAGAATTTGGTTATTAGACATAAGAGGGAAAAGAAAAGTCAAAGATGACTGAAGTTTTAGTGATTGCCTCTAGAGAAAAGAAACTGGAGGGAAGGAAGGAGTAAAGAAGAAAGTGAGTGTAGCTATTTGGAAGAAACCAGCCTAGGATAGGCCCTGAAGAAGGCACCCAGTTTCTAAGGTCTTGGAGGTGGGAATCTGAAATTCTTAAATGTGTTTCCTAAATGAAAGTACCTCTAAATAATTTAGCATTCCTTAAGTCCTGTGTGACCTTTTGGGAGGCAAACATTCACTTCCATTTTACAGGTGGAAGAAAGGAAAGTGAAGAGTCATGTCCAATATTGTACCAAGGTGCAATAATGAAAATAAAAATAAAAATATACAGGCCACTTGGACATACATTTTGTTCAGGTCCTCATCATTCATACTTGCTAGCTTCAGTTCACACATGCATCACTGGGAAGGCCTATAAATTTGTTACAGTATATTTTAAGCAGCAAAGAAAATATGCAAATCAGTTAGCTTCTATGTTCCAACACTGTCTTTCCTCTAATAAATATTGATGCCTCCCTATTCCTGAACCTTCCTTCCCTGAGGATTTTTCTGTGCAAAGTTCCACTTCTAACTGATGTTTCTGTGGGTCACCTCTCTTGCTCTAGACTCCTACTGTAGAATTCCAAAAATAACTGTTTTCTGAAGGAAAGACGTTTTCAGGGGTTTCTCCTGTTCTAGAAACAAACATAAGGTTACATGCGACAATGAGGGAAAATCGAGAAGGGAACAAGAAAAGGAGGAAAAAAATAAATGGTTCTCTTTTGTTTAAAGAAACAAAATTATTCAAATTAATTTGCTTAGCAGCCTGCAGAGCTTGCCACAAAGGTGGAGATGATGGGCGTTATTTCTACCTGTAGGATAAAAATCCAGGAAAATCTACTTTCTCTAGGCTAAAGAATGTTGGTCACACACACTTTACTTGAGAGAGAAAGACAGATGGTCAAACAGACAGACACATCCAGGGGCTGTTTCTCCAACATTCTCTCTGGCTTCTACCCTGATAATCTAGGTTATTCTTTATGCTACCCTGAGATATAAATAGCATCCACTGCCTTTCTCAGGCCAAACAAACTTTAATGTTTTGTTTCCTGGGTCCAAAGGAAAAAAATACTCATAGTACATCTCATTCTTAATTTGAGTTACTACAAAGCTGCCTCACTTTGAATCAACCATGGAATAAAAAAAAACCACCTCAAAAAGACCAAAATTTGTTTGCTATCACCACTTTGTTAAACTGGCCTAGAACTGCCCCAGTGAGACTTCTAAGTAGCTGTTTCCTTTCTGGTGCATAGCTCAGAATCCTCCAGAACACAGCCCAGGTCTTTGCATGTGCCCAGGATGAAATGCAGTTGAATACTTTACACAAGGACATGGATGAGAACTGAGCCCTGAGCCAGATCCCCCAAGGAGTTTTCTGAATAAGAGCACCTTCAGTTGCTAGATAGAAATAAGGAGGCTTTTCTCCTCATTTCTTTTTAAGGAAAGAAAAAGCTACACAAGGAAGAGCAGTTAAGTAAGTGAAGAAGCGGAAAAACCTCTCCCTACAACAGCTACTTGTCTGACACTAGCGCAAGGTCTTAGCAGCTGAAGAGGCCAATCAGATGAAAAGGCTGCCTCTCAGCTGGAAGCATTGCATTGTACTTTAACATCACGACTTAGCTCAAAGACACGGGTCTGAACCAGAAGACATGGACTCCAACCTAAAACTAAGGGCATTACACTTTTCTACCACAATCCGTAGCAAGCTTGCCCTGACCCCCTGAATTTAGCAGAGACCAAAAGAAAGGAATAGACGTTTTAGAGAGAAGCATCAAAGTGAGTTCTTTCCTTTCTCTACCAAGGCAAAGACAAGGAATAAAGACCAGATTCACCTTGTCCCCCAAATACCTAGGCCTTTAAAATGCTTTTACCCTTGGCTCACCCTACAAGGACCACCTCCTGCTGCGTTGACCCTACACTCTCTTTCTTACCTCTATTTATGGACTCACTGATCCCTCTGTCAGACTGTCCGCTCCTCAGGGGAGCCCTGTTTCTCCTGATATGCATCATAAATAGAATTTTTAAGCAATCTTTTGCCTCAAGTTGGTTCCCCCAGGCTACTGAAAAGTGGATATTTTGACCATATGCATATGGAGAGAACCAAATCCACTACCTGTTTCCCTTGGTGCCTAGACGCTCCAGAACAACCAGAGGAGGCCAAAAGGGTTCCTTCCACTTGTTGTAGAAGATGTGATTCTCCTCGGAGGCCAGAGCAACTCCAGAAACAGAGCTGACCCAAACAGAACAGGGGGCTTGGTGCCATTTCTTCCCAATTTTAACATGAGCAATTTAGCAATTAATACAGGTATCCATCCCACTTACTGTAAGTATTACAATGGGGACAAATAATTTCAAATCAAAAATAAAACCAAAACCCTGACAACATGTAGCTAGTTTTCTTTTTCTTTTTCTTTTTTTTAAAAAAAAGGAAACGAAAAATTCCGAGATCCCTGTACCATTTACCATGAGGGGCTTCAGACCTGTGCTGACTTCTCGCAGAAGACCTCTCTCTACTTAGGGAATGAAACACTTCAACAGCCTGGTTCTGCTGTGCTGGCAGAGAAGACAGAACCCGTCTTTTTCTGTTACCGTTGGGCCTGTCATCCTCTTTCGAGGAGCAAGTAAAGGACATGTTCTTAATCTTAACTCTATGGATCCCAGCACCATAGCCCAGAATGTCATGGAAACTGAAGCAATAGCTGTCTCAAGATCATCACTTCAAGTGAACTGAGATAAGCACATGAAAGATGCAAACTATCAGCATCATCAGGTGCTTCGACCACGTCTTGTGGTGGCTGCAATAAAGGGAAAGCATAAGCACTGAGGAAGTCCTTCTCTAGCCTCGTTTCCTCTCATTCTACAAACTTATGCAACATGCCATTCCACCCCACCCTACCCCTCATAGTTTCCAAGCCTTGTAAGAGCAAGTGGAGTGCTGGCCCACACTTTACACGGCTACTTGACAGGTTCTTCACCTCTAGCAAACGGTGGAGAAAAGAGGCACAAATGGGTACTAGTGGTCATGCCAAAGCTCCCACGTAACTGGAGCTGCATGAGCACACCCAGGAGAAAAAAAATACCTGGATGCCCTGGTGAAACTCAAGGAGCTGGACAGAAAATACAGACCTGCAGGTCCTCCCAAAGCACCAGACTGATCCAAATTTCAGCCCTGGGCCTCATACTCTCCAAAACAATTGGCCTTTTGTGCTGCACGACACTGTCCACCAGGGTTGGGTGGAAAAAATTTAGTCCCCTTCACCTGTAACCTCATTCGTCTCTAGTCCCAGGGTGGACAGGGCTCTCCTGGACTCCAGGTCTGGGCATGGCCCCATCCATCACAGGGGCTGAGGATCCGCACGAAAGCAAGGCAGTCCTAATACACACACCATTCCTTACCCAAAAGGAATGCTCTGTCGAGGCGACTGCACCCCCACACAAGCCAAACTCGGAAAGTCGGGGCTGAAGAAACTGACCGAAGGTTAGGATGGAGAAATTGAGGCTCAAAGAGGGGCAGCGACTGACCCCAGGTCACACAGCGAGTTAGAAACGGAGCTTTACTACAACCCCAGTCTCGGGATTCCGGAGTACCCCACTGCTACCCGCCTGCGCTCGTCACGCTCGGCTAAGAATAACTAACATCCCCACAGAACTTCAGCCCCGGTGTCCCCGCCTTCCCACGGCGAGGACCTTTGGTCTTCGCCCAGCGCGTCCACCTACCAAACCGCAGCCCCTGCCCATCCAAGGGCCAGGCCCCACCACTGCGCCCAGCCCTGAGCCCCAATCCAGCTTCCCATCGCCCCCAAGACCTGCAAAGTCGCGCTCCCGAGAGCCGGCGGCGGCGGACATTTCCCAATCTGCTCTTTCAAGCTCCTCATCTCACCGCTCGCGTCGCCCCGCCTGCACCGCCCCCAAGAGGGCCCCGCCCCCGTGAGCCACCTCCACCAATCGAAGGCTGGTCTTCTCCATAGCCCCACCCCTAAACAGAGCGAAGCCCGCCCCTGCAGCCGAACCTCCTCCAATCCTCACCACCCTTTCCGAGACGGATACCTGCCTCCGCCAATTCTGGTGCACCCGGGCCAGGTGCCTGAGGCCGAATTCCAACCGCGCTGCGAGGGTTCCTGCTCAGTGCACCTGTAGCGAGACAGCCACAGGAACTCAGGATCCGGGGTCTCAGGGTTGAAGCCTGTGGCAGGAACAACGAGGAATACTGAGCCAAAGGAGTGAAGAGCCAGCTCCACGTCTCCATGATTGTGTGAACGTGAGCAAATCACTCAGCCTCTCCGGAGAGTCTCCAAGCCTGTTTCCCTCTGTTTCTCTCGCGCACAGTGTGTCTGAGATTCAAATACAATGTGCACCCAAAGGTGCACTTCCAAGGTAGACCCGCGGCACTCCTCCAACCTCGTGGCAACTGTGTGCCAAGGTCTAATCTATGCTTTATAGGCATATTACCTCCTTAATCCTCTCAACAAACTTTAGGAGGTAGGAAACTGAGCTCAGAGTGGTGAAGTCTGAGGTTCCAGAGTGAGTGGCAGAGTAAGGACTCAGTCAGATGTCAGTACTAGGGAGTGGATTGGATGCTTTAACTACCCATAACCACTATCAGCAACTCAAAAGCAGTGTGCTTGTTATGAAATACATTTCAAGACAAGCCCTCTGGTTCCCCCTTAACCGCATTGCCATTCCTTCTTCCTAGAAATTCTTGAGTCTCTTATGCTTCTTGCTCAAACCCCTGTCTGTCTGGCTCCCAAACACTTGCTATTACATCCTGTGCTATCCTGCCTACTCCCCCTGTAGAACTACATGAACCTGACCAAACTGAAATGGATTTGCAAGAACGTCATAAATAGGAAAGTTTGGGTCCCAGTCCTGAAGATGGCACTACCAGACACAGTTTTTAAATTATTGTCAGCATTTACATACTGTTAACCTATACTGGGCCTCATCTGATCCTCACAAAACTCTTAGAGTATTACTAGATAAGGCAAGTTTATATTTTCATTGTACAAATAATAAAGCCAAGGCCTGAAGAAATAAAATATATTGTTCACTTTCGCAACTAGGAAATGGCAGAGTTGGGATAAGAACTGAAATCTTCAGGCTCTATGGGCTTTGGAGTTAGAATCTGGGGTTCCAAACCTGGTCCTATTACTTCAATTGATGAATGTCAGTCAACTCATCTATAAAACAGGATATCACTCTTTAGTATTGCTCAAAGACTAAACAGGAGAATATGGTTGTTATGCATTGTCTAGATAAATATTTGGCACATAGTAGATGCTCAATTAATGTTAGCTAATTCTTTCTCCAACTGTGGTCTCATGACCAAGGCACTGCCACTCCTTGGCCTTTTGTGCTGCACATTATCAGCCAAGACCTGGGTGGGGAAAACCTAAGTACTTTCATCTGTAACTTCATTCTGGACTTCAGTCTCTTTATCTGTAAAATACTAGGTTTCAGCTGGTGGATATCCAAGAGCCTGTTAGCTCTTATAGCCCTCTCTCACTCAGGCCTCCTGTCAACTGTTCAGAGAAGTTGAGTTAGCACAGTTTCCCTGCTGGTTACCCCAGGTGTGGACCCCAGAAGAAAGAGCAGTTCAGGGAACTACAAGGCAACAAAGCCTAAAAGAGGGACATCATCGTCAACTCCTGTCTGTCCTTCATTCTCACAGCTGGGTTCCAAGCTCTGTTCATCCATTCAGCACATATGTATTAAGTGCCTGGCACATGCCAGGCACTGTTCTAACCAATGGGGCCAAAGTTGTGAATATTTTGTGAACACCCAAACTCATTGCTCCCATAGCACTTTCATTCTCATCTGTTTGATCTCTCCAGTCCATTCTCTCTTCCCCATCCCCATTAATTACCAAGCCCTGGTTAAAGTCTCATTTTTTATGCCTGACTATTGCGACACATTCCCATTGATCTCCCCACTCTAGGATCTCTTCTCCAGCACCAGCTGCCAGATGAGCTTTTCTGACCTACAAATCCTGCCTTGTAGTTCCTCCTTTAAAACTCCTAAAGCTCCCACAAGCTAAAGGGCAAAGTCCAAGCTCTTTGTTGGTTATTTAAGACCCTTCATGAGCTGCCTCTCCAGGCCTCTCCTGACTCAGCTTTCTGCACCCTCCTCCTACTGCGAGTTCAGTCCCACCAAATGACCTGCTATTCCCTCCGACTGTCCTTCTTCTCTTGCTGCCTGCCTGGAAAAAAAAATTCATCCTTCAAGTCTCAGATTGGACACCACCTCCCAAATGAAGCCTTCCCTGAGTTGTTTATATGGGACAGGATGACAAGGAGCATAGAAAGCATTAGAGCAAAACTCAAGAGCTCAAGTTCTGGCATAGAATATCTAATCCTGTCTAATCCTGGCTCTATAGTTTACCAGCTATGTACTCAGGCAAGGCACTTCATCTTTCTGAGCCTCAGTTTCCTCATCTGTAAAATGGGAACGTCGATAATACCTACTGTGTAAGGTTGTGGTAAAGAAAATGAGATAATGTGTGAAAAGTTCTTAGAGTGATGTCTAACACACAAGTCAACAATAAACATTACCTAAGATATGAGCACTCTTGTATGGAAGGGGGGAAAGTATTCTGAGCTCCTACTATGCACCATGCACTTTTCATGTGCATTATCTCGTTAATTCCTACAGCTCCATGAGAAAGATATTCTTTACATAGAAAAGTCTACAAAACAAAGGATCAGAGAAATGAGGTGATTTGCTCAAAGTCACACAACTAGGGACCAGCAAAGATAGGTTTTAAATGCAAGGGACTGTGTAGCTTCAAAGTCCAAGCTCTTTGCTGTTATTACTATTATCACCCCTCCAACAACGACTAATTATAATCATAAGTTATCCTTATTAGTTGAAGGTTTGGAGATAAATTTCCCCCTGCTTATAAAATAAACATTAAACTCCTTAACCAGGCAGTCAGAACTCTATAATCTTGTTTTTCCTCCTTTTCCCCACACCCCAGTTTTCATTCAAGGCCAGTCCTGTTCCTGGCACATCATCCCGATGTTCATGCTCCATGATGAGACCATGACAGAAGGAAAGCCCTCCCTTCACTCCTACAGAGACAAGATGTTAGCCTGAAAGGAAACAAGTCACAGTGTTGGGTAAACACCTAAGCCCCAGCACCTGGTGGCTCAAATTTGCATGTTCCATGGCTGATCCTCTGCTCTATACAAATTCTCCTTTACAAATATGCCTGGCTGATTTCCCAGTCTAAACAAATTCTGCCTTAGAGGCTGCTAACCTCTCCTTGCTAAGCCAAAGCTAGACCATTTTCTCAGCTGCAGTGGGGGACAGAGCAGAGTTCAAGGGCAGGAGGGCCTATATGACAGATTTCTCTTAGTTCTAGCTGGCAGAGAGAGGGAAGATGGGACTCTAGAAGCTATTGACTCTGCCAACTTGTAAGAGATTTTGCATCAGAATCACAACTACCCTGTGCAGCGATGCCCAAAGCCAAGAGGACAAAGTGGCCCTGCTAGAATTAAAACTCAGGTCCAAAAACAGAAAAATTGAAAAGCAATCACCATGATCGGCTGGTGGCCTAGGGGCACTGTGGTCACATGACAATAGTTTTAAGAGAGAATATTGACTCTGCCAACTTGTAAGAGATTTTGCATCAGAATCACAACTACCCTGTGCAGCGATGCCCAAAGCCAAGAGGACAAAGTGGCCCTGCTAGAATTAAAACTCAGGTCCAAAAACAGAAAAATTGAAAAGCAATCACCATGATCGGCTGGTGGCCTAGGGGCACTGTGGTCACATGACAATAGTTTTGAGAGCAGAAACTGTGGAGTGTGAGTCCAGAGTATAGAAAATCAACTGATAGTGGGTAGGTCAGTGCCCAGCCAATTCCCCCAGGGAGCTTGGGGTGTTACCTACCTGGACAGGCCCTAGCAACTTCCTGGAGGAACGTCCTGGTGTGTGAACCAAAGGGTAACTGGAATATGAGGCTGAGTTCTGCTGTGTCCAGCTGGACGGTCACATCTGAGCCTGCATAGAAGAGGCCAGAAATGAGCCCTTGACCTTCAGGAGCTGAGGATGGTTGCACCTTAAGGCTGGAGTTCTCTGAATGGAGAATCAGCAGCCCAACCTCCCAAAATCCCTTCGGCCCTTAAGCAATTCACTAAAGGCTGCTGCTGGAGAAATAAGGGCACCCTCTGTACCATCAGTTCCAAATTAACATCATCCTCACTCTATAGAGGGTATGGACCAAGGCTCCAAAACGTCAATAAGGCTTGCCACAGCAGAACTAGACAGAGCTGAAAGAGACAGAGCTGCAAGTTCTCTGACCTGTGTGGTCTATCCCTCTGCAAGTGGAATGAAAAGCACATAGAGGCAGACAAGAGGGGCTGTCCGTCAGTCAGTCTATCCAACTGTGCCAGGCAGGAGCTAGGCACTAGGGAATACCGTGGTGAAGAGAACAGGTGTGGCTTGTCTTCAGGGAGTAGACTATGGATTGTGTCTTGTTCATAGCAGAACCTCAGCCCCTGGCAGCCACATGGAAAGCATCCCAAAACATGTGCTGAACTAATGAGTAACTAGGAGCAGTCTAGCAGAATGATCAAAAGTATGGGCTACAAAGTCTGGGTTCTGAGTTTGAATCCTGGTTCTACCACTTACTAAATTATTTCATTTCTCTGGGCCTCAGTTACCTGGTCCATAAAATGGGGATGAAAACAGTAAAAACCTCACAGAGTTGTTGTAAGGAAAGCACCATATGATGTGTGTAAAGCTCTTGGCATAGTGCCTGGCACAAGATAATTATTGATTAAATATTCATTTCTATTCATATTACTACTACTATAGTCTGACAAAGAGGACAGACATTAAGTAGGTCACTACAAAAAATTAAATCTCTGTGAGTGACAGAGGCAAGGATGAGACAAAGGAATGTGTATCAATGAGATATAATTTCAGGAGCTCAACAAAGGCTTCCTGGAAAAAGTAAAGTGTGAACTGAAGCCCTGAAAGATGCTAAGAGAAAAGAGGTGTGAGAGCTTTCAGGAAGAGGGAACAGCATGTGCAGGGACTTTGTGCTGAGAACCTGTCATGTTTGAGGTGATGGAAGCAATCCAGAGGATTCCAAGCCCAGCAAGCGTGGAAGCGAGTGATAGGAACTGAGGCCAGAGAGGTGGGCAGACTGGACCCTGCAGGGTCTGATGAGGGTATCAGAGGGTGCTCTTACTTCACATCATTTCCTTCTGCAGAGCCTGTACCCCCTTCCCCGACTGGGACCCAGACTGAAAGATCCACTCACCAAGAATGTAGAGTTCACCATCTGGGAACACTGTGGGAAGGAAAATGAAAAGGCCTTAGCTATTGAGCACCGAGTGCCACAGCACTGTCCTTGCTCCCAGTGCCCAACCCCAACAAGGGTAGAAATGACCTGGGGGCCCAGAGCAGGGGGCCTTATCCCACCCAGCCCCTTGTGGCACCTTCTTCCAGCGTAAAATCCCTTGAGACCGGCACTATCTGGTCCAAAGAGACATCATCCCCAGTAATGGCCATCCTCCGGTGCGTATACAGGAAGAGACTGAGGGCAGGAAGCAGAAGTAAGGACCAGACCCACTGGCTGTCTCTCAGGCCCATCACGGTGGCCTTGGGGTGCTCACGCTCCCTCATTGGTCCCTAGGGCTGTGCTGATTGTACCCAGTTCTGCACAATCATCATACCCTCTCTATCCATGGTACCTATTAGAGACTGCGATTTATGGATAGGTCACCAAAGGTGAACTTGTCTCCTTTTGGGGAGACCCTGCTTTGTTAGTAAAACATGTGCTTGATGTATCCATTATACTTTCTAGCACCGCCTGTGGTAGAACAGCACAACCTTAGCCACCACCTTCCCCTCTCTGAACCTCAGTTTCTTCATCTATAAAATGAGGGAGGTGGATTAGAAAATGTCTAAGGTCCCTCCCTGCCAGCTCTGAGATCCTGAGGTTCACATGCTGGCGATGAGACCTTTGACAAGCATTATTATTCTCTCTCTGTTTCTGTGTAATATGTGGATGTTATTGAGTACTTTCTAGTGTTTTAAACACTTTACATGTGATAACTCACTTTAATCTTTAATCTAAGCAAATTGAGGTACACAGGAACAAAACACCTTGCTCAAGACTGTGTGGCTCGAAAGTAACAAAGCCTGTATTTGAACCCAGGCAGTCAGGCCATGAGGCTCAAGATCTGGGCCAGTATGTTAAACTACCTCTTCTCCAGATGGTTGAGGATTATATGAGCTGATATATATGAAGGGCTAAGAATATAGTGTTCATTATAAATTTATAATTAAATCAATTATATTGAAAACAAAGGTTAAAAAATATATAGTGTTCTAAAATATTAACTATCATTAATATAATTATTCTAGAAGATTCAGACTCTGCCCCAGAGGGATGGCTGAAGTCCAGCTGGAAGGTATAGTGAAGACTAACCCCATGGCCCAGATGGGCAAGGAACAAACCCCACACTTACGCATGTTCCTGAACTCCACGTTCTGGGCTGTAGCGCACGAGCCCCAGGAGACGGCTCTCCCTGCTGTCTCCCTCACACAGTACACCTTGTACCGCCTGCTGCTCAGGGTCAAGGGAAACTGAACGAAACAGGAAGCCAGGGCTCTACCAATCCAGCCCACCCCACCTTCCCTGCCCTTCCCTTGCCCACACAGATTTACTGTGTAACCTTGAGCAAGTCGCTTCACCTCTCTGAGCTTGCCCTATCTGCGAAATGGGGATAATAAACCCCAACTTCAAAGGGGGTTGGGTGGAGAACTGCGTAGTTAAAGCACCTGGCAGAAGAGACAAAAAGATTAAAAAATGTGACTAATAAAATGGCAATAACTACATACCTATCAAGAATTACTTTAAATGTAAATGGATTAAATGCACCAAGCAAAAGACGCAGGATAAGGAAACAAGACTCACTTGTCCATCAACAGACAATTGGATAAAGAAGATATGGTACATATATACAATGGAATATTACTCGTCCTTAAAATAGAATGAAATTTTACCATTTGGACAAACATAGATGGACATAGAGGATGTTATCCTAAGTGAAATAAGTCAGAGAAAGACAAATACCACATGATTTCACTTATATGTGGAATCTAAAAATCAAAATAAACAAACAAACAAAACAGAAACAAACTCATAGATACCGAGAACAAAATGGTGGTTGTCAGGTGGGAGTGAGTTTGAGGGGCTGGTAAAAAAGATGAAGGAATTAAGAAGTACGAATTGGTAGTTACATGAGAAAGAAAAATACAACATAGGGAATATAGTCAATAATGTTGTAATAACTATGTATGGTGTTAGGGGTTACTAGACTTATTGGGGAGGCATAGCCCCAATAAGTAAGTTATATAAATGTCTAACCACTATGCTATACACCTGACACTAACATATCATTAAATGTCAACTGTAATTAAAAAAGAAAAAAGAAAAAGAACACCTAGCAGAGAGTTTAGTACTGAGTAAGTACTTAGTTAATAGTGGTTTCCTTCTACACTGATGGCACAGAAAGAGGGAGAGCAGATAGACACATAGACACATTCCATTCCACTTCTCAAGGCCAGAGGAGGCTCAGGGGCTGGGAAGCTCAGCTCTGGGAAGGATATAATGATGCAATATTCCCTCTCAGCCAGAGTCTCCTGGATCGCCACGGACTGGTCCATGCTGGCCCTCGCTGAGCAGACCCACCCTGGGGGGCAGTGCAGATGGGAGCCCCCTTTGGTCAACAAGTTACCCAGGTAGTGATAGAGCTGCCTCAGAGGGCTAGGGTCAGGGAAGAGGGGGCTTTGTGCAAGGAGAAGGTAAAAGAGGCCTGACCCTCTTCCTCCCTAGAATGGGCCTTGTAAAGTTTTTTGTAAAGAGGAGCTGACTCTGCCCCTGGTAGGATGTACAATTTGTTGTATCATCTCTTGTCTAGGAGAGTGTCCCGTTGTTCCTGAGTGGTGTCCAGTCTACCTGTGGGAAGCGGGGTGTCTGGTTCCATTAATGGAGAGAGGGACACGTTCTCATTGCTCCGGGGACAGGGCTATGCCTCCCTTTCAGAGAGCAGTATTAGTTCTGCGGGCACCTCTCTGGGAAGTGTCAGTGGTGTGTCTGCATGGGGTTTGGGGAGCATCCTGTTACTCCCAGGAAGGGAGGGTCTCATTCTGGACAAGAACCCCAGTTTTGTTCCTCTTTCTTTGAAGACAGGAAAAGTGTCCCATTGCTCCCTGGCTCCCACCCCAGCCCAGCAGGCCCCATTGCATCAGCCGCAGGCCAAGGGGGGCGTCCGGTTCCGCAGGCGCAGGACAGAGGTCTCAGCCCTCAGCTGGCTCCCTCCCTCCTGCCCAGCCCTGTCCTGGCTTCTCTGCTCCCAGCCCCCTGTCATTGCCACCTACCTCCTGAGCTGTCACCGCTGGACACCCCGGTCCCTGGCCACCAATGACTACATTTCCCAGCCTCCCCTGCGCACAATGGTCATTCAGCCTTCAAGTCCCAGCATGCCTACGCCAAACATGGGGGGCTCCCCCCGCCCCTATTAACTCCTTAGGTCCTGGGGTGCACTGAGCTGCCTGTTCCAAAAAAGTTTTCCTAATGAATGCCCTAACCTCCACCTCTGATCCTCTAAGTCATGAGGCCAGATTTACCCTCCCAGGGCCGGGAAGGAAGACAGTCATGTCTGCCTCAAGAGAAAAAATAATGCATTTTTATTTTCTCCTCAATTCCTTTTTTAACTCCTCTCATTCATGTGGGCCAACTCTGGCCTCTGCTAGAACTCTTCCTCCCCAAATAAGTACCCTGTACTAGCTTAAAGGGGGAACAACACTATGAAGAACCATTATCCACTTTCTAGCTGGAGAAACTGATGCTCAGAGAGATTCCCCAATTTGACCAAGGCCCTGCAGCTAGCAAGTGCAAAATTGGGCCTCAACTGATTAAGTCTGACTCCAACTTCTATGCCACTGGCCAGACACCGGTACATGCTGCCTGTTATTTCTTCCCTTAGCTTCACGTGTACGTGTATGATGTATGTATGACATATGATGGGGAACACCCAACCTGTCTGCCTCATGGAGCGGTATGAGAATAGGTGTGAATGCACTTTGTAAAGGGTGTGACACTGTTCCTATGCTGGGCTGTGCTGAGTCCCAGTTCTCTCTTCTTCTCCTCCGGAAACAGTGCCCTTTATTGTTCCCAAGCCCCATCCCCTGATTCACCGAGCCATGTACAATTGGGCAAGACCTTTCTCTTTTTGGGCCTCAATTCCCCATCTAAGATGAAGAGGTTGCTCTAGATGGACAAAAAAGGGCGAGCTCAGATAAGAGAGTCCAGTACTGGTCTCTCAGCCTATTGGCCATTTCACTAAGCTGTACCCTCCCTGAGGACGGGACTATGTCTTTTCCTTACCACCCCGGCACAGTCAGCCCTCATGTTTATTGAATTATTAAATTAATGAATTATCATAATGACTACACCTGCCCTCAAGCTTTGACTCAAACTGAAGGGACTGTGCTGGGGAAGGAGTAACGCTATAACTTCTAACCAGTGCCTCTTCTTCCTTCCCTAAGCTGGGAGTTGCTGCCCTGACGACTTTATATGAAGTTCAACTTTGTATATATAAACCTGTTCCAGAAACAACCATCACCTTCTTCCCAATCTTTTCCTTTTCCTGGAACAACCACGGCACAAATGAATATCAAGTTTATTTGAATTTGGTTTCAGAATCATGTGGAGGATGAGGGGAAAGGGGATTGATACAGACCCTTAGAGGTAAATGGGTTGGGTGTCACTGCAGGAAAGTGGGGGAACCCCAATCCCAGCCCCACGCTTTAATGTCAAAGGCTTGGGAGGAGGGTATGGGAAAAATGGATGGGGCCAGGCTCTTTTTATAATCTTTCCCTTGCAGAACTTTTGGGTCTTCCCACTCGATGAGGGTCAGGCAGGAAAAAAAAAAATTGTTCTGTTTTTTCGGATAAACCCCAGCCTCTCCTTGGGATTGGGGCTAAGGCCCTGACTTCTTAGAGGACACAATGGTTAGGCCTGGGTCCTGGGAGAGAGAAAGGGGGAGCGGAGAGCCCAGACAAAATAAACCCCTTTTAGTAAAGATACGGCTATAGGAATCAGAGCTGGGGGTGGGCCTGGGGGCTTGCTGGATGCTGCTCCCCGATTCAGCTGGGCTCAGCTAGGGGAGCAGGAATAGGAGCAGGGCAGAGTTGAGGAGCAGCATCGCCCCAACCAGGGACCAGTACAGGGGGTTCCTGGTGGCCCCTGGGGCTGCTTGGTTGAAGTGGAGGTTCCCATCCAGCTGGAGGCAGCTGCCTGAGGTTGAGGCTTGGCAGCACTCCTGGAAGCAGGACTGAGTCACAGCCCCATAACACCTGTGGATCCCTGCCATACAGGCCTGGCTGCAACCCGCAGTGTAGCCTGAGCTGAAGCGTTTCAGCTGCAAGAAGAGATGGAACCATTCATCTCCCAGGCCCCTTTCCCCAACTCACGGAAGCAGAAAGTGTTAAGTGGGCCATGGCTGAGCTGAACCTCTCTGGATCCCCAGCTCCCACCCCATGAAGTTAGCCAGCCAGTCTCCAGAGGGCATACAATGTGATTAGTAACAATGGGGCATGTCATGGAGACTTAGAAAATTCCAGCATAATGCAGAGTTGAGAGGGCCAAGCATGCTAGACCCCAGGCAACCTGCCTCCCAGAGGTCTAGCTCCAGACAGATTTATCTGCTGACCTACTCTGCCCAGGCAGAAGGAGAAAGGCCTGCAGTTCTGTAGGACAGCACCCCAATCCTTGGAGCACTCTGGGGGCCCACCTCACAGAAGTCCACGCCAACAGGGCACAAGGCCACAGCTTTCTGACCTTTGAAGCAATTACTGCCTTGGCAGGAAAAGGTGGCACAGATTTTCTTCTGGAAGAGAAAGTGGAAGGAAGGTTGAGGGGTGGGGAGCTGTTCAGACTGAACAGGCACTGAATGCCAGACAGAAGCGAGGCTGGAGCCTCATCATGCCTACCCCACTGGCTCCAGCCACCGCACAATATCCATCCCTGCCTCCACCTCCCAGAGCAGACAGGTGTGAAAGAGACACTCACATTTCTCACAAAGGCTGGTGGAGTGAGAACCAGCTTGTCCTCTTGGATGGTCAGGTGGCCTAGACCTAAAGGCAGGGCAGGGTTGCCTGGGGGAAGTGCTGTAACACCTCGGCTGCGGGGCAATTCCTCTGCAAAGTCCAGCCTCCGTCCCAAGGGAGGGCATCTTGTGTGTGGGACAGTCACAACCTGAAACTTTCCCCTATGCTACCACCCTAGACAAGCACAGGAGATTGTTCTGGCTGCCTTAAAGCTTGGGGGTGCCGGGGGGGTGGGAAGGGGTGGAAGGGAGCGCTGGCTAAGAAGGCCTGGGGAAAGGTGGGAGTTAGGAAAGAGAATCTAGTAGGGGGTAGAACACTGAAGGTAGAAAGCTCAGACTTGGAGAGTCAGTAGGATAGACCACAAAGATAAGGGTCAGCCTGGAAACGTTTAGAGGTTAGGGTGTTGACAGAAGTTGAGAAGTTGGCAAAAACTGAGCTCAGATTTGAGGACCTGTGAAAAGGTGGGATTCAGAGCTGAGGGTTAGTGAGCAGGCAAGGCTCAGGGCTGGGGAGAGATGTGGTGGGGCTCAGAGCTTATGGGGCCCATGGGAGCAGGAGTCAGAGTGGGGGCTCGGAGTTGGAGGGCAATGGAGGATAGGCTCGGAGCTGCGGGTAGTGGGACTGTCTCACCGGAGTCCAACTCATCGAGCACCAGGCAGAGTGGGCTGCCACTGCAGCACTGCAGAGAGCAGGGTCCTAGGCTGAGGGCCGAGTTGTTGGCCAGTAGGCAAGGGCTGAAATCGGTTCCAATTTCCCCCTCACACCTGGAGCTGCACCGGGCCATGTAGTGAGCAGCAGTGAGTTGAATCAGCTGCGTAAACAGAGTGCCAGAGAGTCCAGGAGGATGGGGATGGGGAGTCGAGATACAGTCCTGGGCTGTATCTTGAGATCTCCCAGCATCTCAAACACTGACTCCTCTCCCTCCTGCTTCAGTGTCTCTCTCCCAGCACCTTCCTGTATGTACCTGAATGTCAGCCCCACTTCCAATGGCACCCTCCCAACCCCTGCAGCAGCCCCTCGTGGTGGCCTCCCACCTGGGGCCCCACATTAGCCCCACGCCACACCTCACAATGGTGCTCCCCAGGTTCACACTCTGCTATTTGGTTGGCGAACTCTGCTTCCTGGTAGCACATCTCTCCGAAGCAGTGGAAGCTGTGGCATATCTGTGGAAGGGTTTGAACACCATGGCCTCATTCCCATAGCTAAAGGGATCCAGGAGGCTCTATTTCTTCATACGCTGCTTACCTGGGCAGGAGCAGGGGTCAGCTGACATCTGGCCAGGTTCTGGGCTACCAGTAATATCAGCAGGACTGGTAAGAGGAAAAAGAGAGAAGGGATCACTGCAGAGAGTAACCAGCTCAAGGGTTACAGGTCAAGGAAAGGTCAGGCAGTGGTTAAGTGGAAGAGGTCATGAGGTCAGGGCAAAGAAGGGGCAGATCTAGGGTCCAGCAATAGTCATGGGTTAGGGTTGATCACAGAGTCTAGGAAAGGCTGGGATTCCTGGGCTGAGGACATCTACCTCTGAGCAGAGCAGCCCTGTGGCTACTATTGGCCACAGACATCTTCTGTCGAGGTGCTGCAGGAGCTGGAGAGAGTGAATGGCAGGTCCTGGGCAGCCCAAGTGAGGGCTGCAAACAGAGAGTCCCATTATTACACTACGCAGATGAGTAAATTGAGGCTGGGGAGCAGGGGAGATCAACCCACAGGGAAAAAAAGGGCCCCAGGGGCAGAGCTTTTGCTTCCTACAAGTCATACTGTCAGTGACATTAAAATGGCAGGTACAATGGGGCCTCCAACCTAGTGACAGCCCCTCTGAGAGGGAAAGTTATTGGCCTGGCAACAGCAGCAGCCCAGAGAGACAGAGCTGGAACAGGTGCAGTGACAGGAAATAAACATTGGTGCCACTGATCTGGCCTCATTTGCCTCTAACATCGGAAGGTGCCAAGGGTGGAGGGTGGGGGGTAACAGCTGGCCCAGGGCAAGGAAACCCTGGCTCACAGAGAGGGTCAGAAGTCAGGGCTCACCTTGTCCAGGTTCTTCAGGTTCAGACCCCACTCTGTTCCCAAATCAGAGATGAGCCAAAGGAAAGAGGTAGCTCTCAGACCCTGGATATCTGGATCCTGGCTCTTCCCCCAGGACTGGGGCATCAGAACTGTAAAGGTCTACTAAGCCTGGTTCAGGTTTTTCCATGCAAGGTAGAATACTGCTGGAGATGAGAAGTGCATTCTCATCTTCCCACCCAACCCTGGGAGGCTGCACACAACCCAGCCCCCAACATTTCCAGGGCATGTTTCCTTATCTTCAGGGCTATACTCCTCCATTAGC